TAAAATAAAATAAAATAATAGAGAAAATCCACGTTGTGAGGTTAAATATTGTTTTGTGAGCCTTGTTACACATACACACACACACAGAGGGTACTGCACTGAAGCATAGAATACATTTCTTATTGAGGATTACAGTCCAAAAAGAAGTTTTAAAAATACTAATGTTGAAGAAGTGTGCTTGCCAGCCAAAAATCTAGAGTGTTGCCAGTGGAGGGATGACCCTGGGTTGCTGCCTCATAAAATATATTTTAAGCCAATACAATAAAAGATCAGAAGACTAAATTATGTTGTCCATGTTGACTTAAAAAATTAACTGTGGCTCTGAAATACCAAGGAAGGATTAAACATCTCAATCCACATGGCATCTTCAATACACATGTGATCCACAGTAAGAGAAGAATGACATCCTCACTCATTCTCCCTGGAATTAGGCATCATCTGGACAAGTAGAAATTAGGGTAAATCAGAGCTGGACAAAGAACAATGGACTATTCTGTACTCATAAAGGCCTTACAAACTATATGAAAGACAAAAAGATAAACATCTTATGATAAGTGGGATTAAAGGTGGTGAAAAGATAACATGAGCCTTGAGTCAAGTCTCTGGAATAATAATGCCAAGTCTACCACTAACTTGCTAACTTGCTCAAGTTAGAATACCTCTCTCAGCTTTGGTTTATCACAAACTGGATGGATTGACTAAATATCCAAAGTGAGAAGGGCATCCTGATAATGCTAGGACAAGAGGAGATTCCTGATTTAAAGCCTCATTATCTTAATCTAGGGAAGTTTGTTTGTTTGTTTTTCTATTTTACAGATAGTTTAACTGAGGCACACTGTTACTCTAGCTAATGTAAACATGTTACATTTCTCCCTTAAGAGTAAAGATAGTCTAATGACATCTGGCTCAATAATCAATGAAGTTTAAATTAATACTCTAAACTTGAGGAACAACACCTACCTCTAATTTTTAAATAGTATTTAACATATGTATTTCTCCGAATGGAGAGATTAGGAGGGCCAGCCAGCCTCTTTTGACAAAAGCAGAAAGCATTGCTTGAAAATATCATTAATAATGACATCCTGTTTGTGTGGCTGACTTTTTATCTTTAACTGCACGTTAAAAAAAATAATAATAAATAAAACAAAAATGAGAGAGAGGGAGGCAAACCATAAGAGACTCAACTATGGGAAACAAAATGAGGGTTCCTGGAGGGGAGGAGGGTGGAGGGATGGGGTAACTGGGTGATGGGCATTAAGGAGGGCACTTGACGGAATGAGCACTGGGTGTTATATACAACTGAACTCTACCTCTGAAACTAATAATACAGTATTTGTTAATTTGAATTTAAACAAAATATTTAATAAAAACAACAACAAACTATAGGATTTGCCTAAGGTATTTTGTTAAGTGTGCAAATTTAAAATGTATTTTTAAAAACCAGCAAATATAGCATAAACAAATGTAGGCACTGGAATTGCCATTTATTATTAGAAATCTCTATGTATAAATGCTATATAGTTAAAGCGATATAAAAAGAAAGACGCTTGGTACAAATAAGCTGTTCAGAATGTTTAAACTAATATGTATGCTAGACTTCAGATATTAAAAAGTAAAAGTTAAATTTAAAGAATTCTAATTGTAGGGTATGACTTTAACCTCATGTCTTTTAGCCACAGACTCAAAGAAAATGTATACAGTAAAAGCAGCAACAGATTTTCTCACAACCGGAAATTCTCAAATGAAAACACAGCAACTTTCTTATTTTTTAACAACAGAATTTGAATTTAAATGTCTTCATTATGTAGTATAACTTTTATAGCAAGTTACACTGGCTTAATCACATTTTCTAAAATCAGAAAAATTGTTAACTCTATGGGGTTCTAAAAACAAATATAGTTATTTGATGAGCTTGAAGTGAAGTGTTTTTGATGAGTTTTGAGAGAGAAGGAAATAAAAGGCTAAGGTAAGCACCAGTTTCACCCTCAATTCTTAAGCTTCAGAAAAGCCTAATTAGGCAGGGAAAGGAATTTGGGCCTGGCACACCCAGGTTCAGTCGTGGCAGGATCCTGAAACAAAGTTTTTCTGAACCTTTGAGTCATATGCCACAGGCAAACCAGAGCCGCGATATACAGGTCTTAAGTCAACAGGTCCTTTAACGAGATGGTGTGCGGTTGGTGAGTGGCAGTTGGATTTCTTCCTGCCACGAAGAAAATAGCTCTTCCCGATCAAACCGGAAAGCGGGCGCAGCTCTGGCTTAGGGAGTGCACCCGGAAAAGTGTACAGACCAGAGAGAGGGAGAGAGAGAGATGTCCGCGTCCCAACCACAGAGCGCTTTCCAAACCACTCGGAAACCATTTAAATGGCTAGGGCGGCCGCGGTTTCCAGCCTAGGACTGTCTGGGGTCCGGCTGGGAAAGTTGCCTGGCAAAGCCATGCCCTTTCCCGTCGCGGACTTGTTCCCCACCCCCCACCCCCGCCCGCCCCGGCAAAGGGACGAGAGGAGACCAGCAACCTGTTAGCACGCGTGCAAACGCGGCCGTCTCGCGCCTAGCCCAGCCCCTCAGACCTCCCCCCACTCCCAACTCAGACTCTCCCAGGGTCAAGCTGCGGGCCACCGGGACTTCTGACCGGGTCCGGCTCCTCGGGAGCCTCCCTACAGAGACTGCCAGGGGCGACAGGGCTAACCCCCGGCGCGCCACCTGCCCCGGCCTCGGGCGCTCCTTTCGGCGTCTCGGGAGGGGCAACTGAAACACTGCTCTCGAGACCACCTCCAACCGGCCACTGGGACCGTACCCCTCTCCCCACCACGTGAACCTTCGAGTCCGTCCTACCGCCCCTTGCGACGCTGCCCAGGGTCTACTGGTCCCCCCGCCCCTGGCCCGAGCGCCGCTCCGCCCGCTTACCTGGCGGGTAGGCACGGCAGGACGGCGGGAAGCAGCGGCCGGGCGGGCGCTGGACTTGGGCCGGGCGCCAGGTGCAGGTGGTGGCGGCGGCGGCGCCTCCGGTTGCTGTCGCTACAGTTGCCGCTCAGTCCAGCTCCGCCTCCGCCGCCGCCGCCTCCTGCCTTCCCGCTGGGTCTCCTGCGTTGCCAGGAGAGGCCGAACCGAGGCTCCGCTTCCTCTTGGAGTCTCCCAGGTGAGCTCCAGCCTGCGACGTCGGCAGGGGCGAGGCCCCCGCCCCGCGCCTGCGCGCCAGGCTCCCGCCCCGCCCAAGCCCTACCTGAGCGCTCCAGGTGAGGACCGAGCGCTGCGCTCGCTGGGTGGGGGCGCTGTCCCCGCCGAGCGCAGCCGCCGCTCCCCTTCTCTCTCCGCGGACCGTGAGGCTGGTTCTCCAAGCGAGGCGCGTCTCTGCCCGTCTACATTTGAGGAGTCCTGCCCTGACCTGGTGGCAGTGGTCACCTTGTAACCAGAAGTCAGTCTGGGTCCTTGGGGAACCAGAAGGTCTGTATTCCCCTCACACACTTCTGCTCCTCTCCACGGTTCGCCAAAATGAAGGGGTGCACTGCCGGGAGACCGGGGGGCCCAGTGCCCCGGAGAACCACCTCATGACGGCTGCAACTCTTGGCTCGTACGGTTTACTCGAGCAAGGTTCAGCAGCTTCTGTCACCAGTTAGGTTCGTGAGCTATTGGGTGAGCTTCCTTCCCATGTACTAGTCTTGATTTCATCACTTGACTCATTCGGCACAGCTAGTGGTTTCCGTTTCTGTAAGCGCGCTCTCTGGTAGGGGCGCCTCACGTCCAAAGGAGGAGCCTCCCTCTTCCAGAGAAGAGTCTCTGGTATTTGGCAGAGCCTTGCTAACTTGGGGGGCACCAACCCTTCCTGGATTGCTATCGAAAGGCAAACCAATTCCCAGAGGAGAGAGAAAGCAGCGACAATAGAGAGAAACCTGCTGTCCTTGTTTGGAAAGACACTGGCTTCCTGGAGAGGTTTTCCTTCTACTGTGGGTTTGCTTGAAAGCTCAGCATCTATTGGGAGGGTGACAATGCAGACTCTAGGGAGATAGGGGGTTTTGCCACTGTTTTTAAAGACAGAATTTGTCTAACAGTATTTTTTCCTTTTATGATATTTACTACTTTGTTTCAGCCTTCCTTCTGCTGTTATGACAAACATTGACACACCCAAAAGCAGGACTTAAAAATGGCCTTTATACCTTCCTATAAACTCATTCACTATTTGGCTCTATCTTTAATGTACATATAAATAGAAAAATAGCCAAAAATGTTTTAGTATCATGTTAAATTACATGGTGGTAGGTTTTTCTATAAAGTTTAGCTGTGGTCTTCCTCCTGTATTTTGACACATATACTTATGGTTTCTATTTATTGGTATATTAGTGTTATGTGTGACCTAAAACTAAAATTTAGAAATACTGGTTAGTATAGTATCAATAGGTGTAACTTTAGAACTTGGCTAGTCTGACATTGGTTTTAGCATCCACAGTACTATTCCTTTTTTTTTTTTAAGATTTTATTTATTTATTTGAGAGAGAGAAAGAGAGAGAGCACACAAATGGGGGGGGAGGGGCAGAGGGAGAGGGACAAGCAGACTTGTGCTGAGCAGGGAGCCTGATGCAGGGCTCCATCCCAGGACTCTGAGATCAGGACTTGAGCCAAAGGCAGACGCTTAACTGACTGAGCCACCCAGGTGCCCCCATCCAGAGTGCTATTTCATACCACACCTATGAATCAGATTTAAAACTTCGGTTAGTTGTTTGTATTGTAGTTATTTTGCAAGCATCAAGGAAACTTTCTGTGTTTGTGACATTTTAATATCACTACCTACAAACAATTTTTAAGCTTTCCCTCTCTCCCCTGCAAAAAGTTCAAGAGCTCCTTATGTGTATGACCATACTAACTTGATAATATTTGTCCTTAGGTCCAAATCTGAAAATACTACCCACCCAAGTCCACCTACCCAGCCCCTTTTTTTGAGGTTCTGCAACTTTCTTTGTTGTTTGCCTCCAGATGGAGATTAGAGGCTCAGTCTTTGGGAAATTTGGGAGAAATCCTAAGTGTATAACCACAGAGTCTGTTTCCCATGCCTTGCATCACCCATCTCTGAATGAGGCAGGAACTGAAGATTATCAGAGTTTTGAGGTCCCACCAGGCAAAGAACAACAATTTTGGCTGACAAGAGCAGAACAGAGCAAATGGATATAGAATAGCAATTTGGAATCCAAGGACTGAGATGCATTGACAGCAAGACAAGTAAAGTCAAATAATGATTGGAAAAAGAAGCTAGGGCAGACCTGCAAAAAGAGAGAGCAAGCAAATAAGACCAAAATGCTGCATGAGGGGTGAAAAAAGAACAGAACAAATATAAAAATCAGAAGTTACTAAAAATTGACTGCCAGTTTTACAATAGAGACAGACAATTTAAACAAGGAAAACAGTTTTTTTGGGTCTGGCATACCTACCAGCATTATGGGTACTATTTCATTTCATTCTGAAAGCAAAGTCTTAAAATTAATAAAAGTTTTTTACTTAACAATAAAATCAAAATGCTGCAGGCCCAGAAGAAAAGTATTATGCTGCAATCTTTAATGCCCTAAATCCAATGAGATAAAGAGTTTTTGAAAGTATCATCCTATTCAAGATTATGAAATACAGAATTTGTGTTATAAAGGGGAAATTAGTATTTCTTTATAAAATAAAACCCAGGAGACTTAGTGTAGACATGCTTCTCAGAAACAAGCTTATTTCAGTACTGCATGTTTGGCATGTAATGGCAGTTAAAATAGAAAATTAGAAAGATTTCACATAGGAAAGAAGAAACATATCTATCTACACATGGCGGGGGATGGGGGAGAGAACTAGCCATAAAATGCTTATTTATATAGAATTAAAATAATATTCACTGTTTCATAATTTTTGTTAACATTTAAATTAATGCCAAGACCAGTATCTAACACTGAGTAAGTACTCAATAAATATTTGTTAAATTAATAAATTGATCCAGTAAATACCATGAAAAAAACCATCATGCATAATGTCTTACGCTGAGTACAACTCCAAAGAATGGTTTAACCAAATAGTATGGAGAAATAATCTAAGGCAAGTAGACTAATGGACTAAGAATTTGAGGGACAAGCGTCTAGTAACGATAGCTATCAGCTATCATGTCCTGATGTTTCAAAAGGCACTCTGCAAAGCAACTTATACTCCTACAAGTTAGTTTACTTCTGGGCTTAAATTTCCTCTTCCTCAAAATAAAACACTGGTACAAGGTGATTACCAAGTTCCTTTACACATTGATTCATGTAAATTCCATGATAAGATAATGGTAATGCAAAAAAAAAAAAAAATCCTCTGGATATAGGAATAGCAATTAATGGAAACCAAAGATGAAGGAATGGGAATTACTTAACTGAGATAGAAATTTTAATTCATAAAATTAATTATAATATATAATATAACTAGTAAAATTATTCAGATTCACTAAGTCCAACTTTAAATGTCTTTAATTTGTTAATTTGTTTGTTGGTTACCCAGGGCTTAGCAACTTTAGCTTGAAACATAACTGCCTGCCTGGCTTAGCCTTTAAAAACAATTTTGCCTTATGTGGAAACTGGAGTCTTCAGTCAGATCTCAAAGTCAAACTGAGAGTTTGGCTCAAAGACTAAACAGATTGAAATAATTTCTACTAAAAGAATTGAAAGGCTATTGATTTAAAAGGAGAATAGTGCTGGTACCATAGTGAAGAGCCACAAATATGTGGGTATTTTTTTTTTTATAACTATTCAGCATAATGCTACATTGTGTTTAAAATATTATAAGAGTTAAAACAGTAAAACCATGAATAGATTATTTTTAGTATGAACTTTTTTGGACAGTGTCTTGTATGAAGATTGCTTATGAGGGTTTTTTCCCCTCTAAGAATATCAACAGAACAACCATCTGCGACTTTCAAAGAGGTACAGATTTCTATGATTGCGCTTATTGACTTAAAATGCAACAGAACTATGTTTTGTTAATCTTGTACCCTTAATGCTTGGCGCGTAGTAGGTGCTCAATAAATATTTGATGAAATGGATTGAGTAGAGTGCAGTGTTTCAAGCTTTTAAGCATTAGCATAAGAGCAAAAAGAAATACCATGTTGAGTCAGGCTAATATTCAATCTAGCTAGCTCTAAATTCTGACAGTGGCATCAAAGCATTTCTTCTGGGAAAAGATGGTGATAGTCCTGCATGATGTTGACCTCAGATATGTACTCCAGGTGTCTCTTACTCACTCTTTCCTAAATTGATCTCTCTTTTTCTATAAAATGGCTTTTTAAATTGTAATTCAATTCATATTTATTTTAGAAAAATCAGAAAATACAGATAAACTAAAGGGAACCAGTTGGAAACACCCCAAATTCCTCCCATGTAGATAAATCAGTGCTAACTACCAGACCTGTTTCTACTGTTTATCTCTCCAGATACTTTTGAAAAACGAGGGAGAGTGGAATGAAAGATATAGAAGGAGACAGAGACGTGTTTTTAAAATAAAAACTAGGTCATATTGGGATCTTGTTTTGTAGCCAGAGTTTTCTACTTAACATATCTTTCCATGTCAATGAATTCATTTTTTTTACAGCATTGTTTTTAATTATTGCATGGTTTCTTTTTGTATGAATATATTTAATTAGTCACTTATTGGACAATGAAGATTGTTTTCAAATTTTGCTAAATTTTGCTATTCAAACCGTGCCATGATGCTCACATTCTTTAGTGCTCACTATCTTCATCTGTGGACACATTTACACTGCCTTTCTTCTGACTTTGTTAAGCCACTTTGTATCAACCACCCAAGATCCTAAACAATGATATTAGAAGAATCACATCACAAAGACAAATCAAGGAAAATATATTAATGATTTAGCACTTCCTATGTGTAAAAATACTAATTCTAGTTACCAAAACTTTACGTAAAGCATACTAATTATAATTAAAACCTTATCAGAAGGACATCTGGCTAGCTTAGTTGGAAGAACGTGAGACTCTTGATCTCAGAGTCATGAGTTCCAGCCCCACGTTGGTTATAAAGATTACTTAAATAAATATTTTTTAAAAACCTTATCATTTT